GTTACCACTTAATGTGTGTTTATAATAATATGATCATCAAAATAACGAACTTATTTTGTAGTCAAGTATTGACATACATACAAAATATCCATAATGTGAAATTTTACAATGATGGTACTTTCATACTCATTTTTTTCAATGTATCTTTCTATTGTATTCATATTCTTTGTAAACCATTACATTTTGTATTGTATTGTTATTATTCAATGTAATGACTAAACTATGAAGAAGATGAAGAGATAAAGTCATTGTCTAGTTATATGACTATTTCAATAAATATATATATTTCTTTGTTTAGAATAAAAACACCAACCATAAGGATGAAGCACAATTGAAACATTCTGTTCAGATTACAGTATTTGTTTAGAATTGAAATAGAATTATACTCTATATTTTACATTAGTATTTAACATAATGAATATCTGTTGTTGGCATAGATTCAACCTATGCTGTTATTTTTCATATGATACATTACAATAACTAAAACTGTTTGTATAATCTTAAAACTATAATTTATCATATCAAAAAAGAAATGCGTGGTTGTTAACTGAAACCACGTATTGGTGAATTCTCAAATTTATTGATTATCTATATGTATTTAATCATAATTGTAGTGATTTTATCTATATTAAAAATTAGTTTTAATCTATTTGTGATGTACTAGAATTAACATATTGACTGTTTATATATTTAAGGGATATATAATTACAGTATTTATTCTGGCTAATATGTAGTCAATTATTCGTTAAATATCATAGTGTGTTTGTTGGGTTTGTAGTCATTTATATATATAGACGGTTTCACTTGATATTGTTTGGCTTGTATCTTCCCGTTGAGGTTTCAAGACTGCAATTCATCAGTCTAGTATTGGCTTATGTGCATACTGTGCGTATGCCTTGATATTGTCTTAATTCACAAGCTTTTTGTAAGCAATGATGGATAGTGGCTAGCAGTGGAATTCAGGACGCGCGTTTCATCCTATTTTTCGACAGGCTAAGAGGTGTAATAGGTGTAAGCATGTAAGCCACATAAACACAGTTCAAAATAGCGATTCATTAATACAATAAAATAATCCCAGCAATATATTAACTGATTGACTATGATAAATCAAAATAGAGCATCAAAAGGAGGCAACGACAACTTGACATTAGATGTAAATGTTACTTACGTTACAAAATCTTCGTAAAATTTTCGTATGAATACATTAAAATTATGTGCTCTTCCATGTTGATAGTCCAGTATCAATCTGTTTTTGTAACGTTCTACAATCAGGTTGGTAACTACTGCTACCTTCCCATATTTCCTCTCTAATTTCTGTTGCTGGATACCTGTAAACGTTAGTTTGATTTTCAGTTCATTTAAAGTTTATTTCTTTTTCAGGGCATCAATAAATTACAATTAAATTAGATCAGTGGCAACAATAAGTTGGCTAAAGATGGTCCTGCTTTTTCATCACATTGTTCGTTTTAGGAAGCTCTTTCACAACAGAGTAAATCGAACATCTTTCATGCTATCAAAAAGTGATCCATGATCATCTTTTTTAGTGAGCGCCCTTTAGATTGTAGCCTTTTTGTAATCTCTATTTTAATAGTGGCTTTTTTAATTGGTTTGCTTTTTTTAAATCTGGCCCTTTCTCACTTGCTTTTTTGCTCATGCTCTTATTAGTGTAAACCACTATCAAAAAGGCATTCTCTGTGCATACCTTAAACAAAAGCAGCTTATTACCAACAAACAACGTTTTTGCATAAAATTAATCAGTACTCATGAAAGACATTATAACAGATGTGATTATAAAAACAGTACATATTTCCAATACTACAGTGATGAATCTTTGTTTAATCAGATTACTGTGAAGGTAAATAACGTTGGAAGTATATTAAAATACAGTAGCTGTAAAATGCAGACTCAGTTTGGTAATATATGACTAGTTCCGATCTTAGAACATTAGAGGACTCATAATATTAGTTCAGCGACCATGTTTCGTGTTAACTCTACTCACAAAACTTTTTGAAATATGGACATATCTATACCTCTTATAGGATTCGTGAAGTTAAATAGCACTGAAATTCATTGATGATGACACTTTGCAAACTCTTTGAGTAACGAATAATGATTATCTCAACATCAGCGAAAATTCAGTGAATTAATTCCTGGATTATTATTTGCAACCCCAGGATCAGTTTTCATCATCAGTAAATATTGGATAATTTCGTTTAACACCAACGAACAATTGAAAATAATTGGTAATTGTGATCAACATGTTCACATTTATCGTATAATGTGCATTTATCTTCAATGGTTTTATAGATGATTTAAGCAACCGACAGAAAAATTATATTTACGCTAAATGGTCGTATTTATGTGAAAGGAAATGACTACGTATATCACTATAACTATGTGATAGATCACGTTCAGAGTGTGGAAAACAACCAGCTGAAATTGTTAGTTATTTTCAAGTTTCTGTTTCCTTAATGTTGCTATATACACAAGGGACATCACGGTTAATTTCATTATCTTCCGAAAGTCTGTTTGATTTTTACGCAGTAAATAAATTGAGATAACCCATGAATTTAAACCAAGTCATTTTGTGAAACCATGTATAATCAAACGCTTTGCAGAGACAAGTCACGCCCGACACGATTGGCCCCCACTAGTCACGGCTTCGCAATATAACACTGAAACTTCCCTCCCGAAGTCAATCACTTGTAAGCATATGATAATTATAAGCAACCCTCTATTAATAACAATGGATTAAACTATACACTAAAATGATTTGACACTAACGTGATGCACAATCAATCAATGCAATTGGATATGAATAGAAAATTAATGAAAAAAGTAACCTTAAATCGATGTGTGGATTTTATATTTGATTTCCTTCAGAATATTTAGGGGTTGAGCATACTCGATAAGTCAATATCAAGTAAAGTGGAGTATGAAGGAATAGTGAATTATGTAAACAAAACAGTAATTTTTACTTATTCGAACTGCGGCTAGCAATATAGTCGATTTAGAGCGATTCATTCTATCCCGTGCTCATCATCTCTATATAATTACAGTACAATCTTGATTGTCAAATCAAAACTGGAGCCTAGTATCTATCGTTTCAAACACCATCATGTTATCCAGTAAGCTAATGAATTTCAATGATCATTCATTTTTTCAACAGGTGTGACATTTAAATTTAATTGTGGAAATAGTCTCAGATATAACACTAGTCGGAAGAGAACACTCAAAAGTGATTGTGTAAAAACATTTTTTTTTCATTTTAAGAATACATATCCCTATATGATATTATTCCACATGTAGTTCGTCCTATTTACTATTATCTTTTAAACTTATCACATCCTATCGTTCAATAACAATCTAATCTTTTGTTACTTGAAAACACTAATTATAACCTACAATATACTATAGCTTTACATCAATGACAAAACTTCATTCCTGTATGACTTTGAAAGTAAACTTTACTATACCCATTCTTTTATCGTTAACAACTCCCACTGATAGATTTTTACCTTGCTCCAATCATTGCTAAAGAATATTCACAAATCTCAAACTCTTTAAGTTTCGGGAAGAACTCAACACCTAGTAATTACCTCTTACAAGTTATTTTATTTGGTACCAATCTATTGAAAAAAACCCAGATGAATTCATTAAAGCTATATTTATTTTTTCGTTTTTATCATCGAAGGCATAACCATTATGACATGAATTTTCCAAATAACTCGATTAATAGATTTCCGAGCTGAAGTATACTTAAGTATCTTGTTATTTTTCGGGTCAGTAAAATCTTACGTATAACTTATGGTTGGTGTTTTATGAATACTATCATAGTTTTGACACTTAATGTTCCACTTTTAGATGGGGGAATAAATTACCAAGTGATAAATGTTGTGAATATGCTATCAAGAGTTTTGCTATGAGTTTCTTTAAACAAACTTATAAAGCAGTTCTATGTGAGTCATGTTGTGCGGTTCTTGTATATTTCATCCCTTGACATAATAATTATCTCCAGTTATAAAATATGTTATATATGTGTATGTAGGGATATTTGTTCAATCTGATACCAAACATCTGAAAACAGGAATGCACCGGAACTCACTTTGTCTTTGTTTAGGTTTCGTTAACAATGTTCGTTGACAACCTTTTATATAATTATACCTAGGATACTTTTTGGAAAACACAATAACATTAAACTGCTGGGCTCGAATGTATAGCTTGATAAAAATTTCATTGAAAGAAATCCGTTTACTGAATTGCATGTGTTGTCGATACTTTAATAAAGATTATAAGGACACTAAGTTGGAATTTAATAATTTTCATCACTGTCACCTTACAACGTGAAGAGAAAGTAAATTAGAAAATTGGAATGGGAAATAAAAACAACGGAATAATAAGAAATATTAGTTAAGATATTATTATTACTATAAGCGAATAATTAACAAGGTCAAAATGTAGCTTGAGAAGAATAAATGAATTGGTCTGTCTGGAAGCTAGAATGACCGATATGGTCTTAACATACACTAGACCCTACGGTATCTCCCAATTTTTGGAACTCATTTGCTTAAAGTTTCTACCTTTTCGTATAATTTCTGCTCATATAGAACTGTGGTGAAATAATTTAATCTTTTTACAGTGATTATATAACTAACGACAAAATTTATCCTGTTCATCCTATCGTATATAATAACTTGCTCATAAGTCTATTAGAATGTATGACAAGCCATCTAAGTATCCTATAAATAAGTATAAATAATATTATTAGCATGAGATTTTGTTCACACACATTGAATATGTAACGCCATTGTACTATACATTTCAATTAATGGATGATCGGGATCAATCATGTGTGAGATGAGAAATTAATTCAATATGATGGTAGTTAACTATAAATTGCAAGCATACTTTAACAATTTCTTTTATGTATTCTTTCACTATTAATTTGCGTTAATATTAACTGCCAAATGAATTTGTATACAAAAGAATTATATTTGTCCCTAGGGTGTATTCCACACATTCACTAACAAAGCTTTATTTTCTGATCTTCCATGGACTAGTAACAAGTAATATTCCGGGGAGGGACCATGATCATACATATTGTCTATTCGCTTATCATCATCATCATCATCATCATCATCATCATCATCATCATCATCATCATCATCATCATCATCATCATCATCATCATCATCATCATCATCATCATCATCATCATCATCATCATCATCATCATCATCATCATCATCATCATCATCATCATCATCATCATCATCATCATCATCATCATCATCATTTCGAATCCGTTTCACATAACTGTACAAACTCTCTAGATCCTACCTCTAGTTGAGGCCTGATACTAGGATTTTTCAATGATAAAAAGCTGCTCCGAGTTACCTCGATGTATATCTGACAGTTTACTCGCTCTTATGGAGTTTTTTATATTGGCCGCACAGAGCGTAATTTTTCCAAATGCATATTGAAGCACTGTCCAGCATGATTATCAAAAAGTGAATGCAAGTTAGTCAGTAGTTTATTGGTTAAATATCTAGTCAATTCCGGTCGCCTAACTCCGCCAGAAATCTCATTCAGAATTATCCAAAAAGTGAAAGGTAATGGTTCGAAAGGAAACTGAATAAGAAATTTATGCAGAGTGGGAAATTTGGTGATTCATTTGTCAAACTTAGTCTTTGTATTCAGAAGCAGTATATTCAGTCAATTAGCATAACATGGTTTTAACATCCCTTCATTATTTACTGGTTAGTTTTTAACATATATATATTTTCATCATCTTCCTGTATTACCAAAGTGCACAATGATCTTTCATATCTCGCTTCCATACCATTGTTTAACATGTTTGTTTATATCTTCCTAAAAATCGTCAAGTAGATGATAATTAATATCATTATTCGATAGGCTACTTCCGTCCTGTAACCCATTGACCATTACAAAATTTTTAATTCTGATTGACTATTAATATTTCTGTTAATGGCTCGTTGATTTTTCATTTATTTCACAAATCAACGTATATAATAAATAACCATTAATGCGATTATACAGCTTTAGTAAATGATATCGTTCAAATAAAAAAGAACTTTCTTCGCCGAAACATCTTCATTTCTACCTGAAGTTTGTGCTGATGATGTCGTTCAGAAGAACAATGAAAACTCCACAAACAAACCTCCCATCTCTGAGAACAAAACTACAGCAATTCATTTAATAACTCAGTTTCCGTGTTTGGCAAAAAAAATTAATCCCTGAATAATAACCTCTTGCTAATTCATGATAATGAAATCTAGTGAAAGCACAATTTTTTGTTTGAACAGTAAAATAGATTCAATGGTTGAAATCATGAGTTAATCGAAGCTAAATCACCATGGAAAACCTGGAAGCACTGGACGGCTATTTCGTTCTCCAACAATGCGCATCTACGATCCCACATTGCAAAATTCAAACCCGGGACCCATTATTCTCGCAGGCGAGCGCTTAACCACTTAACAACTGGGCCGGCATCCAACGGTGTTAATGTCTAACTTCAACCAATCCACGAAATTGAGCAACACATTCACCATTGTCTTCAGTGAGTTACTATCTCACAACAGACCTGGTTGAACTCCACTGGTCACTATTTCTCATTAGAACTCCAGGAAATACCTCTTGAAGCCAGCCATTAGTGAGCATATGTTGATAAATATCAGGTGTTTTTATGGATATTATAGTAATTTCAATAGTTGAGATCATGAGTCAGTTGAAGCTAGATTATCATAGTAAAATAATTCTTAATCTGGTGTATTAATTTAGCACATTAAGAACTTTACAATACAAATGGTATTTATATTCTGACTACTTTTAAGTAGGCAATTAATATAAGAAAATTCAAGTCATAGATTAAAGTGTTTTCTACGATGGTTATTAATTTGAAATCGTTTTGAATATATAACAAAATATTTTTATATCATAAAATAAAATTGAATTCATAATATTATCAGTAAATTGCGAGGAATCCTTGTCATATTCTAGACAAAATTTATATGAATATAATAAATTGTATGCAAAATCCATTGGCCGGATACTATCAGCAACAACTTCCGGTCGGAGAGAACAAACCAGCTTCCACCTGAAGAAGAAATTAGGAACAGACGATGGAAATGGATAGGACATACATTACGTAAATCACCAAACTGCATCACAAGGCAAGCCTCAACTTGGAATTCTGAAGGGAAGCGGAAAAGATGAAGGCCAAAGAAGCAGATATAAAAAAAGATGAATAACAACTGTAAGGAGCTGGAAAGGATTACCATGACAGGGTTGGATGGAGAATGCTGGTGAGCAGCGTATGTTCCTTCACGAGGAGTAACAGGTGTAAGTGAGTAAGTAAGTAAACTGTATTTTGATGGAGTTTTGTTCTCTGAGCTGGATGGTTTGGTCGTGGAGCTTTCATCGTTCTTCTGAACGACATCATCAGCACAAACTTCAGATTGAAGTGAAGTGTTCGATTTTCTCCATATGTGTTTCACAGCTTGTTCTGTGCACCTCGATGTTGATTGGTTCTTGTTGACCTTAAATTTATCATTGTTCACTTCTTTGTTTAGGTTGTGTCTCCCATTGTTTTGATTTTTGTTCTTATATATATGCATGATTTTTCTGATTGGTTGATAAATTGGATTGATTTCAATATGTTTGTTGATTGCTGATTGACCTGAGTGCCAGGCTTCTAGAAATTCTCTGGTGTTTTTGGAGTTTCCTCTGTCTAAGATTTCTACATTTTCCCAATCGAATGAATGTCCGTAGTTATCCACGTGTATTGAAATAAGTGAAGAGATATCATGGCGTTTGACTGCTAATTGATGTTCATGTAGGCGTAGGTGGAGGGGGCGTCCGCTTTGTCCGATGTAGTGTTTGTCGCAGTTGGTACAATTTATTTTGTAGATAATGTTTGATTTGTTCTCCTTTGTTATTTCATCTTTTGGTTTGCATAAGATTGATTGTAGTGATTTTGTTGGTTTGTGTGCCACTCCTATCCCGAAGGTTTTCAGCAGTCTCGTTGCAGTTTCTGATATTCCTTGTATGTACGGTAGGGTGATCCTTTTACTGATTTTTGTGCTTGACTTGGGTTGTGATGCTGTGTGCCGTTGGTGCTTTTTGATGAAATTGATTGGGTAGCCGTTCTTTTGGAATATGTCCTTCAGGTATTTCTCTTCATTTCTTCGTGCTGCCAGTGTGCTGCAGTGTGTTCTCGCCCTCTTGAACAATGTGTGTACGCAGTTGATTTTGTGAGCCCTTGGGTTGTTGCTGTTGTAGTTGAGAATTTGATCTGTATGGGTTGGTTTCCTATATACTTGAGTTTCCAGTTTTCCTGTATCAGTTCTAGTGATCAATATATCCAAAAATGCTAGTTGGTTGTTTGACTCCTGTTCCATTGTGAACTTGATGTCATTGAAGACGTTGTTGATCAATTTGTATGTGTTTTCCAGTTCATCCTTTTTGACGATGACGAAGGTGTCGTCTACGTAGCGAATCCAAATTTTTGGTTTGATCACTGGTAATATCGTGGCTTCTAGTCGTTGCATCACTGCTTCTGCGATCAGTCCTGATATTGGTGATCCCATTGGTGTCCCTTTTGTTTGTTTGTAGATTTTGTTGTTGAATTGAAAATATGTCGTAAGGCATAAATCGATGAGCTCCAGTAGACTTTGAATTTGAAGCGTCGTGTATTTGGTGAGATTTGGGTCGTTGTTGAGTAGTAGGGATATAGTTTCTTTTGCTAACTGTGGTTCAATTGAGGTGAAAAGTGCTGTTACGTCAAAGGATATCATGAGTTCGTCGTTGTTGATTTGAATGTCCTTAATTTGGTCCAAGAATTGTGTTGGGGATTTGATGGAGTGTTTGGCTGAGTCTACTAGATGTCTCAGTATTCGTGAAATTTCTTTTGATAAATTGTACGTTGGCGTTCCAGGGAGTGCTACTATTGGACGTAGTGGAATGTTCGGTTTGTGTATTTTGGGCCTGCCGTAGAATCGAGGGAGTACTGGTCCACTGGATTTCATTCTCCATTGGTCTTGTTTTGTTATTTCTCCTGCTTTGACTAGCTTGTTTAAAGTCTTTGAGATTTGGTTGTCTAATTTTTTGACGGGATTTGTGTCCATCAGTTTGTATGTGCTCTTATCTTTGAGTAGTTCTTCGGCTTTGTTGACGTATTCTTCTTTGTCCATGATTACTGTGGTGCGTCCTTTGTCCGCTGGTATTATGACAATATCCTTTCTATTTCTGAGTTCTTTCAAGGCCTTTTGTTCTCGTGGAGTCAGTTGGTTGTTTTCTTTCACCTGTTGAGTTATCGGTACTATAGTTTGCCTTATTTCCTGTTGTGTTTCTTCACTGATTCCGGAAGTTTTGAGTGATGACTCTAGTGCTGCGAAGAACTGTAGCTTTGAGGCGTCGCTTGTATTGTAGTTTAATCCTTTTTGGAGCAGGTGTTCTTCCGAGAACAACTATATTTTCTCCATGAGTGTCTTCGCCAGCATGTTCTACCAACAAGTGTAAAATATAGACCTCCAATCAACTGCCCACTAGGAGGGAGAATAGCTGAGCAAAGTGGAAGAAAAATGGTATACCTAATGATAACGGATGCACACTACAGGATCCGCAAATACCAGCACGTCATAGAAGACCAAAAGATAAAGCTACAAAGGATGCTCACATCAGAACATTTAGACATCGTGACAACAGCCATCGAGATATCATGCAAACGACATAGAGAACAAAGAAGAGACACCTTAAAGAAAAAACTAATCAAGATCTCCAAACCACCCATGGAAGAAAACACAAACAACTGCGTGATCAATCTGTCAAAACAACCACTAACAAATACGGAAGAACACCTGCTCCAAAAAGGATTAAACTACAATACAAGCGACGCCTCAAAGCTACAGTTCTTCGCAGCACTAGAGTCATCACTCAAAACTTCCGGAATCAGTGAAGAAACACAACAGGAAATAAGGCAAACTATAGTACCGATAACTCAACAGGTGAAAGAAAACAACCAACTGACTCCACGAGAACAAAAGGCCTTGAAAGAACTCAGAAATAGAAAGGATATTGTCATAATACCAGCGGACAAAGGACGCACCACAGTAATCATGGACAAAGAAGAATACGTCAACAAAGCCGAAGAACTACTCAAAGATAAGAGCACATACAAACTGATGGACACAAATCCCGTCAAAAAATTAGACAACCAAATCTCAAAGACTTTAAACAAGCTAGTCAAAGCAGGAGAAATAACAAAACAAGACCAATGGAGAATGAAATCCAGTGGACCAGTACTCCCTCGATTCTACGGCAGGCCCAAAATACACAAACCGAACATTCCACTACGTCCAATAGTAGCACTCCCTGGAACGCCAACGTACAATTTATCAAAAGAAATTTCACGAATACTGAGACATCTAGTAGACTCAGCCAAACACTCCATCAAATCCCCAACACAATTCTTGGACCAAATTAAGGACATTCAAATCAACAACGACGAACTCATGATATCCTTTGACGTAACAGCACTTTTCACCTCAATTGAACCACAGTTAGCAAAAGAAACTATATCCCTACTACTCAACAACGACCCAAATCTCACCAAATACACGACGCTTCAAATTCAAAGTCTACTGGAGCTCATCGATTTATGCCTTACGACATATTTTCAATTCAACAACAAAATCTACAAACAAACAAAAGGGACACCAATGGGATCACCAATATCAGGACTGATCGCAGAAGCAGTGATGCAACGACTAGAAGCCACGATATTACCAGTGATCAAACCAAAAATTTGGATTCGCTACGTAGACGACACCTTCGT